TATTAGAGGAAAGAAATTGGTTTTGGGGAGGAATTTCCTTTTTTATTAATCTTAGCCACCTAGATGAATTTCATGGTGAATATTTGTGTCATTAAAACAATGAATAGCCGAAACCGGTTTGGCTCAGTGGATAGAGCGTCGGCCTGCGGACTGAAAGGTCCCAGGTTCGATTCCGGTCAAGGGCATGTACCTGGGTTGCGGGCACATCCCCAGTGGGGAGTGTGCGGGAGGCAGCTGATCGATGTTTCTCTCTCATCGATGTTTCTAACTCTATCTCTCTCCCTTCCTCTCTGTAAAAAATCAATAAAATATTTTAAAAAAATAAAATAAAATAATGAATAATGAGGATTTCCAGTCTTGATGACAGGATAGGGAAACACTACTCATGATCACATCAAAATTACAACTAAATTATAGAACAACCACTCTTGAGAACCACCCGAAGATTAGCTCGACAGAATTCCTCTAAGAGTAGAAAGAAGCAACTTTAAGACTGGAGGGAGGGGTGGAGACGTGAAACAGGCTGATCCCAAAGCCACCTGTGGAGGTTAAGGATTAGGAGGGATATCTCAGCTATGGAGGTCCACCCTGAGGAGCAAGGGGTTTCAACCCCACACTGGGCTTCCCAGTCCAGAGCACTAGTTCCAGGAAGAGGAGTCCCCACAATTTCTGTGAAAAATCAACAGGGATTCTATTCTGGTAAGACAGAGGGCTGCTGTAGATTCGAGTTTTCTCTTGAAGCAGCGGTTCTCAACCTGTGGGTCGCAACCCCTTTGGGCGTCGAACGACCCTTTCACAGGGGTCGCCTAAGACGATTGGAAAACATATATAATTACATATTGTTTTTGTGATTAATCACTATGCTTTAATTATGTTCAATTTGTAACAATGAAATTAGGGGTCATCACAACATGAGGAGCTGTATTAAGGGATCGCGGCATTAGGAAGGTTGAGAACCACTGTCTTAAAGGGTCAGAGCAAACACTCATTCATAAACACAAACCCTAAGCTCCAGTAAAGGACCATCAAAGTACCAGGGACATACATGGAGGAACTGAATCATCTGGCTTCAGGGGAGGGCTAGAGGGGCAGCTCTCTCCAGGACAGAAGGGCTGTTAGGCACCACTGTCCATTGTTGAGCAGCCCCACACACAGCCTGGGAGGTGCAGAGGAAGTGCTGGAAGGCACCATTATTCCTTTGTGGTGAGCTCCCCACATCCACCTGCAGGTGAAGGCAGGCACCAAATCTGCATCTCCATCAACCTAGTTAACACTGGTGATTTGCAGACACTGCCCCACCCAAATCACATACAAGCCTGAACCAACTTCAGCGGCTTTTCCACATGAGCAGCCAGCCTTGCCCCAGGCTGCAGACATTCCTACAATCTCCCCCAAATCCACAAAGCCCAACAAGCAGCAGTTGGCCTCAGCACGCCCAGGGCCTCTTGCTAAGCAGCCCTGAGTCCGAGTCCGGCACAGACGGCAGCCAGCATCAGATCATAGCAGCCGCGCCCAGTACTTCCAAGTCCAACACAGGCAGCAACCAACCACAGATCACTTTACAGCTCCTACCAGGAGGTCCCTGGCCAGGAAAAGCAGCAGCTGGACTTAGCCTGCACCAGAGCCCCACCAAAAGTCCCCAACTTAGCAAAGCAGGCTGGCAGGGAGCAGAACAGACCATCAAGGAGCAGAGTAGAGCTGCCCAGTCACAGAAGGGCCTGGTCCCAGAGCCACCTGGCCCCAGGGATGCTGCACAGCCCTGGTGTTTTCACAGTTGTGCTTTATCACAATTGAGCTGTTTTGCACTGAATAGTTTCTTTCCTCACGCACCCCAAGTTGGGGAATCCGGAATCCAGTTGGCATTTAATTGGCGCCAAAGACCATCATATGAATAGGTCAAAATTTAAAACAGGGACTTCTGGTTTCAGCCAAATGGAATAGCCCCATTTCTCCCAAGTCCTCCCTCCTATAACTAAAAAATCCTGGAAAGACTTGTGACTGCTGAATGGCACATGACTGATTCCTTCATTTCCTCAAAGTCTTGGCTCCAAAAGTTCCTATTTAAAATTGCACTACCATCCCTCAATCCCCGACTCAGCTCTACTTTCTCCATAACACATGTCACCTTATAACACACTATACCACTTCTTTATCAAAATTACGTATTGCTTGTTTCTTCCACTAACATCCAGAGTGATTTTTCTTTAAGCATCTTTAACAGTTCCTAGAACACAGTGAGGCCTCATTTGTTTGCTAAACTAATGAACTTCAGGAGGCAGATGAAGAAGCCGAATGACATTTATTCGGTTCAGAATATTTTTACAGGTAAAGAAGAAATTACGGGTGATATTTACGTTCTTTTCCCCCAGGAGCACATTAACAAAATGTGAAAAACACTTTAATGGGCATTTCTAAAATAAATCTTACCCGTTTTTAATTTAAAAATAATAATAACGTAAATGAACTCTCAAAGAACAGTTAAAAGCAGTCCGCTGGAAGCAGGAACCCAGACACCTCCACGCAGGGCCCGGGAAGCCGGGGGAACAGGGGACGGGAACCGAAAGTGTACACCGGAAGTGTCCGTGGCCCTCCCGCGGCTTTCTGGGACTTGTAGTTCAGAGCCCCTCGCGGGCGGAGACGCCGCTTCCAGGCACTGGATTCACGTGGGAGGTGAGCGGCGGGTGGCGGCTGGCAGCTGGCACCGCCCGCAGAGAGGCGGCGGGCCGTGGGGCGCGGGGCGACCGGGCGCTGCGACGCCGCTGCAGCTCCGAGGGCCCTGCTCGCACTCGCGCTCGTGGGGGCTTCGTGGTTGGCCTTTTCTGCCCGGTGACTGGCCTTCTTTCAAGGTTCAGTGGACACGAGGCAATCGAGCGGGGCTCCCGTGAGGGGCCGAGGTTTCTGTCCCCACAACACTGTCCTCATTAAAGGGTTGCATCTGAGCCCTGCACCCCCAAAAATGAGTCAGGTTGAGGAAGGTGTCGCAGGCATCCAGAATTCATCACGATAGACGATACCGCCAACCCGAGAGCCCCTCTGCTCCAACTAGAACTTGAGGGCGGAAAGTGGACACATCCTGGAGCTGCTAGGGGCAGCAGGATGTACCTGGGGAGAAGGGGGGAGAGGGGCGCTTGGTCTGATGACCCAAAGCTCAGTGGAGAGAGTGAGGGGGACCGCGCGGGGAGACAGGACAGGCGCCTCGAGAGGGTTTCCTGCAGGAGCAGGAGCTGGGGGACTTGACTTTCATGGACGTTTCTCTTTTGCTAGCTCCGGCTTCCCAGGACTGTGCTGCGAGGAGGGCATGACCAAGTTCCAGGTGAGTTGGGGTTTCTCCTCTGAAAATGCTGTCTCCCTGAGAATGCAAGTTATCTTTCTTTCCTGGGACCCAGGAAGGACATCAGCATTAATGGACATCAGATGTCAGGTCCTGTCTTTGTTCTGTGTGTCATTTCTCCCTTTATTGTCGGACTCCAGTGTGAGACATACGGTATTTTATAGATTTGGGTGTAGCAACACTGATATCCTAAGCCAGTGGTCGGCAAACTCATTAGTCAACAGAGCCAAATATCAACAGTACGACGATTGAAATTTCTTTTGAGAGCCAAATTTTTTAAACTTAAACTGTATAGGTCGGTACGTTGTTATTAACTTAATTAGGGTACTCCTAAGCTGGCCTTTGCTAAAAACGTCCTCAATC